TATATAGATAGAGAGAGAGAGAGAGAGAGAGAGAGAGATTTAACACGCGAGAGGGGATATGGGCTTATCTTGTTACCACATTTTTATTGAGAATTATTAATTTAAATGATAAATTCACGTTCTAATATCTTCCTTATCGCCATTGTTCTTGGTTGTCTAAAGAAAGACGTTTCGTCGGCCTCTACATAACTCTGTAGAAAGAGCAATGCCATTGTGTTGGCTGCAAGGCCGACACAATATACTAGATTTTCATAATCTTTTTTTTTTTTTTTTCTGTTTCATTTTCATGAGAAACATTGAATTCTTGCTCTCAAGAATATGGAACGGGCATCTAAACAATATGCTCTAATTACATATTTTGTTATCTTTAGCCGGGTCATTTAATCTCGTCTTGTCAGTTCTGCTATCTGGAAAGAAAAATATAAATTCAACATAACATTCCTTTCACTCTCATAACCCGACTGTCGTACCCACAGATACCTGACCCCCGTTTTTGATCGAGAATTTCAGCGTCTTCTCCTTCTTCAGTCTGTTGATCACACTAGATAAAGCACCTTGCTCTGTGGTGTTGAACAAACACAAAGACGGTTCAAATGTGTCTGCAATATCGATTGACTTGCTGTTCTAGCAGATACGCCTACTCGAACACGAGCAGCCAGCCATTTATATATATATATATATATATATATATATATATATATATATATAGCAGCCAGCCATTTATATATATATATATATATATATATATATATATATATATATATATATAAACAGGGTGTCCATAAAGTTCATGTGCACTTTAAAAAAATTTATTTGTATTTGCGATAGAAATAATTTGTAAAAAGAATAAAATCTATATTTTTAAAGGTTTTATTGAAATTTTATTTAAGTTTCCACATGTCCTCCGTCATTTGAAATATAAAGGGTAATACTGTTTTGCAGTTCACGGAAAACATTTGCCAACTGATTTACAGTAATAGCTGTACAGTAATCACATTATTTATTTTAGCTATTCTTAAAACTAGGTACATTAAACTTTATAACATTTTTTACAGATTATTGCTATTGCAAATACAAATAAAGTTATATTTTTTTAAAGTACACACGAACTTTATGGACACCATGTATAATATTTATTTCTGTGTTGATTCTTTGGGATGTATCCATTTTTGCTCCTTTATTTGAAGGTAGACATATCTATGATTTTGCTCCTAACGTTGTATCAATATCATATAATAATCGTACTTGTCCCTCCCTTCTTTAATTCCTTAGTTCACACGACACTTATACAATTATACAAATACCTCATAAATAATGGATTATTCCATTCTTGTCGTTAAAAATCACTACTTAGTCTCAGATGAAACATCAAGGGAAGATTAACGTCAAGTTTAGTAAAATGGAAAAAGTTTTTAATTTCAATTATTTTTATTTGTACCGCCTTCCTTCTTTAAATAATAATCATATTTGTTATTGTTATTGCAATAATTTGTTAAACTTCTTAAGATCAAATATTTAACGATGTGATAGGCGGATTTTCCTGGGTATTTTATTGTCGTAGAACTCACCATAAGCTTTCTCATTCATTAACTGGAGAATTAAAATTCAACAAAAATTTCAAATAGAAAAACCGCGAAATTTTGACGGGTTAAAATTAGTATATTTAAATACATTCATTGATCTAATTTGAATATAATAAAATAACGAACGCAAATATCAAGATTGATATATTAAAGGTATTTAGTTTTAACTTAGTTTATTATTATAAAACATCATCTCTGAGGATCATTTCACTATCTTTTTGTCTGCAAGACCTTTTTGATAAATGTGCACTCCATGGTAAACACTGCAGACGAATACAATTCCTTTAGTAATGTCTTTCAGAACCATCTTCTTAAACATTATACTTTGATAACAATATGTCCTCTACATCGCTACAGTTTTGTAAGCTCACACCAAATACGAAAATGTTCACTTAGAAGCCTAACTAATGTTTACCTGGAAATATAAATATCAACCAGAGAAATGTTTTCCGATAGAGCCAAGTATACACCCTACCCAACTTTACATATTGACTCAAATATCAAGCCAGACAAAGTTTCCAGAGGGACTAAATATACAAACGAGTGATAATTTATAGATAGACTAAAGAATAAACATGGCAAGGGTTCAGATTCAGATTCAAGCTTAAACACAATCAATGTCTACCTATAGACTGATGATAAACATGCGCAAATTGTGCTTGTGGACATTAAATATCTGAATTAGGTTTGATTGTCGCAAATAAAACAACCCAACCCAGAATTTAGTCTAAGGTATCAAGTATGCGGAAGGAAGTAATGATCAAACGAATTATGGTAGAAATAAATTTTGAGACGAGTCTTTGAATCCAATCCTTACGGCACTTTCCTGATATAAAGCATTTATTGATTGAATTATTTTTCTATGCCTTATCAACCGTTTACAAGATATTTTTTAAAGTATTTCACCCCAAGAAAGGCGGGAGTGTCACTAGCATGCAAAGGGTTGCAGAGAGTGGGAACAAGATTAAAGAGGTGTGATAAGGAAAAGATGAAAAGGTGGACTGGGTATCAGAACAAGTTATCTGAAGACATTGCATTTGAATAATTAAAGATTATAGCCATCAGGGAAGCACGTAAGACGAAGGGAGTTCCACAGACGGGAAGTGCGAAACATGCCGTTATTGGAGTAGAAGAGATGGATGCATTTAACAGTTTCTGGTGTGGATGGAACTGAGATGCCAACCTGGTAGCACACTTAAATTCATGCAGTTTGGGAACCAGCGAAAGTAGCTCGTCGGAGTAATTACTGTGAACGTATTTATAGAAAAGATAACGGGAAGCGACGACACGGCTGAGAGAAAGTGACTGTAGACCAGATGCCAGGACCAATCACCTTGCATATCCGACTGTGGATTTTGTCGAGGACCTTGACACGAACAGCGGGGGCTAAAAACAGATATGGCAGCAGTATTCCATGCAAGGGAGAACGGTTTATTTATAGATTTAAAGGATGGACTTGGACGAGAAAAACTTTCTGGCGCGACATAGAGAACCAACTTTCATTGCGGTGGAAGAAGCTATTGATTCAATGTATTTGTTCCATCTCAGGTCAGCGGACAATGTGAGACCAAGTAGTCGCAAAGAGGTGCTCTCGTGGAGTTGAGCATCAGACATTGTAATGAAAAGCAGAGAGGGTTCTCTGTGGTGGGTAATAGAGAGCAGTTTGTTTTTGAATCATTAAAGTTTAGCAGCCATTTCTTGCCCCAGTCAACCACAGATTGGTGGTCCTTTTCGAGACCAACGGCCAAGTTAGTTTTATCAGCGATACCAGATTTACTATTGAGGCAGGAGTAAATAGTGGTGTCGTCTGCACAGATACCTACTAGGGAACAGATAAGATCGGGAGAGTCTTTAATGAATATCGGAAACAGTGTAGGACTCAGGAGAGAGGATTAGTTAGCACCTGCGTTCGTGAGAAAGGACCTGGAGGAGAGTCCGTTTAGGACGAACTTCATTACACGGTTTCACAGGAATGACCGTATTAAGTCAAATAATCTTCTTGAAATTCCGTATCCCTGAATCATACGAAGAAGGCCGGCAAACCCTAGAGATATCTAGAGCCGCAGCTCGAGCTTCTCCGTTATTGTGACGTGTTTGGTAAACAAAATCATTTGCGGCCTTAGCACATCAGCAGTAGATCAGGCAAAGCAGGTCATGAGATGTAAGGTGATTAACCACTTCGGCGTTGATTAAAGCTTCGGAGACTTTGCTGTAAAGTGGTAGGAGACTGATGAGGACGGTAGTTAGATGGGTCAGTAGGGTCTCCTGAGTTCTTAAAAACAGGTACAGCAGATGAGGACTTCCAACAAGTTGAGGCAGTAGATATATAGTTAAATAGCTGTATTAAAGTTACAGTCAGTGCCGTCTGTCTTACTCTCTGCATGAAGCATTTCCAGACCTCAACCCTGCGTTAAGTAATGCCGGATTAGGAAAGCGAATTTTGAACATATTTTTATATAGACAACCCACCCAGTGACAATTGGTGTGGTCTATCACATATTGTATAGGAAAGTTTATATTTCACGTATCGGATGTGGACACAAATTGACCGATGTTAAGTGACGAAATATTGGATTGAATAAAGTATTAAGTAATGAAGAGTGAAGTCAGCCCAGCCATTTCATTCCAGAGTATGTCAGTAAATGAATGAGTAAGCGAGACTGTGTATAGCTACGTACGTGATATACACACGTGACTGTAGAAAGAGATAAAGGGAATGAAACACATAAAGAAAAAAGTTGAAATATAAACCCTAGGCTTGTTAAGCATAAAAGATTTTGCTTTTGATGCGTGTCGTTAAAAAAAAAGAAGAGTTTTCATTCGAAGCATCATAAAACTCGGTTTTATTCATCGTTTCTATTTGATTGGTCGTCTACGCCATCATCTCTTAACCAGAAAAGATAACACACTTCTGCTTTCCTGCAACGAGTAATATCCCTAATAATAAAAATCACAAGATCGTTTTACTACCAGTCATTTAGATGAGAAATCAGACGAAAAGGAGATGGTGGAAGTGAAGAAGGAAGAAGAACTCTTTCGTGTTTTGTTTCGATATAGGTGGAAGGAATCCTATCAGCAGAATAATTACAGATATCCCCAAACCAAAATACAGGGTGTTGCAGAAAAATCCGTCACTTGACAAAAAGAAAACGAAATAGGCAATAAAAAAAAAGTTGTAATATAAACCCTAGACTTCTTAAGCATGCAAGATTTTGCTTTTGACACGTGTCGTTAAAAAAGGAAGAGTTTTTATTCAAAGTATGATAAAACTTTTTATTCATCATTTCTATTTGATTGGAAGAAATAGGCAAGGGGGTTGCCATAAGGGCAGCCACAAGTCCGGGGATCATTGGTGAGGAACATTGTTGAGCAGCCAGGTATGCGTTGTCTTGGCCTTGTGTGAACGAGGACGACGTCATGCCTCCGTTCTCCTTTCAAAAGGGCTTGAGACTCAGCGCTGATATCTACCCGGAGATGCTGAGGTGCGTGGTGAAGCCCTGGCTAGACAAGATCGCCGCCAGACGCCCCTACGTCTTCCAGCAGAACTCCGCTCCTGCACACAAGGCCAAAATGACCCAGGCGTGGCTGCTCAACAATGTTCCTCATCACTGGTCGCCGGACTTCTTCTGGGGCGTGATCAAGGCCAAGACCAACAAGCACGTCAACAACACCGTCGACTCTCTGAAGGCTTCCATCGTGGAGGA